CATAGTGACCCTATGTACAACAGAAAAAAAACTGCCCGGTCCTGGGCCAGCCTCACAGTCATCACTATGCCTGAGCCCATTGCTCCTGCCACTGTGCTAGTCCATCTCGTTGGAGGTCTTTTTATTTTTCTCCAAACCTCCATGTTACCAAACAGTGTATCCTTCTCCAGTGACTGGTTCCTCCTGATAATATATATGTCAGAAATAGAGAGACAAAGTCTGACCATCCTGGCCTGCAAGGAGCACTCTGACTGCACTTCTTCCAACACAGATCTGTTGGTTCTTTTATTTATTGGTCCAGTGGTGAGGATTTTGGTTTTCTTTACATTGAGGCGCAACCCATACCAAAGGCTGTGATCTTTGCTCTTCATGAGTAAGTATTTTAAGCCCTCTTCACTTTCAGCATTCAGAGTTATATGATCTGCTTATCGCTGGTTGTTAATGAGGCTCTCTCCGATCTTGATGCCTCTTCTTCATATAATCCAGCTTCTCAGATTACTTGCTCAGTGTACAGATTGAATAAGTATGATGAAAGAATACAACCCTGGTGCATACCTTTCCTGATTTTAAACCATTCAGTGCCCCCTACTTCTGATGTAACAACTGCCTCTTAAGTACAGGTTTCTCAATTAAATGTTCTTGAATACCCATTCTTTAGAATGTTGTCCATAGCTTGTCATGATCTACACAGTCTAAAGCCTGTGCATAGTCAATAAAGCACAGGTAAACATTGTCTGGTATTCTCTGCTTTCAGCCAAGATCCATCTGACATTAGTAATGATATTCCTTGATCCATGTCCTCGTCTACATCTGACTTGAACCTCAGTCAGTTCCCTGTCAATGTACTGTTGCTTTCATTTTTGAATTTAACAAAATTTTACTTTATTGATATTGTCCAGTGATATCCAGTCTGTTGGGTTTCTTCTCTTTGGAATGGGCACAAATATAGATCTCTGTCATTCAGTTGCCCAGGTAGCTGTCTTCCAAATTTCTTCACACAGATGAGTGAGTGCCTCCAGTGCTACCTCAGTTTATTGAAAGTTACCAAGTTTTATTCTATCATTTCCTTAGCCCCAGTGCCTTCTGTGCATATTGGACATCTTCCTTCAGTACATTTCCTTTTGATTAGATGTTACCTTTTGACATGGTGGAACATTGTCCATTTCTTTTTAATTACTCAGTGATTCTGTGTATTCCTTCCATCTCTTTTTGATTGTTTTTGCCCATAGTATCCTTCTGTAATGCAAATCAAGACTTGATTTATTTTTCTTCAGTTCTTTCAGCTTGAGAAATGCTGAGTGTGTTCTTCGTCTTTTGCACATTTCTTTATACTTGACTTTGTCTTCCCGAGCTACCCTGTGAAACTTCTGTTCAGCTTTCACCTTCTCATTTCTTCCATTTGCTTTAGCATCTCTACACGGAAGAGCACATTTCAGAGTCCCTTCTAACATCCATTTGGTCTTTTCATTCATTCTTGTGTTTGGTTTCTTCCTGTATGATGTTCTCACGTGTCCTAAAATACTGCTGTCATGATGTTTGTTCCTGACTGTTCTACTTTTAGTTTGACCAGTCCACTTCCGCCTGTACAAGATTTCCAAAAGCTGTACATCTTTGTGGGAGTAGAAACTTCATCTTCTGGGATGTAGCTTGATCCACCGACCTTGTGGCTCGCAGTCAGTCAGTGCTTATAAGTACAGAGCCTCTGCATCTTCTTATTATAAATTGCATATATAATATATAATCAGTAATATGTAATGGGTAATGATATATAATCATTGTCAGTTTACTATATACAATATGTCTTGTTGTATGTATTAGCTATTGTTGTTGTTGTCAGGTGCCATCAAGTCAGAACCGACTCATAGTGACCCCATGCACAGCAGAACGAAACAATGTCCGATCCTGGGCCAACCTCACTACCGCCGCCACACTCGATGCCATCAATGATGCCACCTGGCCGATCCATCTCGTTGGGGGTCTTCCTCTTTTTCTCTGACCCTCCATCTTACTCAGCATGACATCCTTTTCCAGCGACTGTTCCCTCCTTACAATATGTCCAAAGTATGAGAGATGAAGCTTTGCCATCCTGGCCTTCAAGGAGCACTCTGGCTGCACTTCTTCCAAAACAGATCTGTTGGTTCTTTTGGCAGTCCATGGCACTTTTAGTATTCTCCTCCAAGGAGGAAGTCCAAAGTGCATTGAAGGAATTGGCAAAGAACAAGGCACCAGGAATTGATGATATAAAAATTGAAATCTTTCAAGAAAGTGAGGCAGTACAAGAGGCACTCACTCATCTCTGCCAAGAAATTTGGAAGACAACTATCTGGTATTAGCCATTAGCGTGATGCAAATCAAAACGAGATGATACCTCACCCCAAAATTGATAGTTAAGTTCAAAAAAACCCAAAGCAATAAATGTCAGTTGGGGATAGAGAGACTGGGGCCCACCTACATTTCTGGTTTGACTGTGAAATTGTACAGCTACTATAGAAAACAATACGGTGCTTCCTCAGAAAGTTGGAAATAGAAATACCGTCTGGTCTAGAAATTCCTCTACTTGTATATATCCACCAGAAGTAAGAGCCATCCACGAATAGCTTCACTATGTGCACCTGTGTTCATCACAACACTAGTCATAATAGCCAAAAGATAGAGACAGCCTGAATCCCCATCTTTGGAAGAATGGATAAACAAACTTTGGTACATACATGCAGTGGAAAAATAGGCAATTTTGAAGAACAACTGTCAATTTATCTTCATAACATGGAGTACATTAGACTGAGTGAAATTTGTCAGTCACGAAAGGACAAATAATATATAAAACCACTGTTGTAAAAACTCAAAGTGTTTTATGTTCAAAGAAACTCTATGATGGTTACCAGAGGAGGTAGGGAAGAGAGAGTAATTCACTGGTTTAAAGGGTTGTTGTTGTTGTTATGTGCCGTGGAGTCGGTTCTGACTCATAGGGACCCTGTACAGAGTTTCCGAGGCTGTAAATCTTTACGGGAGCAGAAAGTCCCATCTTTCTCCCGCGGAACAGCTGGTAGTTTCGAACTGCTGGCCTTGCTGTTTGCAGCCTGATTCATAACCACTGCGCTACTAGAGCTCCTGGTTTAAAGGGTAGACACATGTTAAGTCAGGTAACAGGACTGAAAAAGAGGTTGGCAGAAGAATGATGAAGACAGGTGAGGACACGGATATTTATGAGGGTTAAAGGGGTTAGAGATGAATAGTGTTATATACACAACCCTGGAATAAGTGTTCTGTGGGCAGATTCATGGACAGATGTATAGGCTGGAAGAGTTCAAGCAAGAGTGGGAATATTCCCACAAATATATAAGGATCTGAAAGAAGATATTCACAAAACATCTTAAGGCAATGAGTTGCTGGGCCTGGGGATTGAGAATCATAGTCTCAGGGGACACCATGGTCAATAGGCATAACACAGTCCACAAGACAGTGTTCTGCATTCTACTTTGGTGAGTAGCAACTGGGATCGTTAAAAAGCTCATGAGCAGCCATCTAAGGTACACCTATTGATCTCACCATGTACGGAAGAAAGAAGAGTGATTAAATTTTGAAAATGCTTGGAACCAGCTAGTCCAGTGGAAACTGTAAGCATCATGACTCTGAGACCAGAACTCGATGGTGCATGGTTAACACTACCAACTACTCTGAAAATGATCACATTAGAAGGTCCCAGGAATAAGTGGGAGAAAATGTGAAACAAAACTCAAAATTATAAGAAAGACCAGGCTTGCTGGGCAGAATGAAACTGGAGGACACCCAAGATAAAGGCCCTCCAGCACCGTTCAGATTTGAAGTGGAGCTCACCCTTGTAGCCCAGTTTTCAGCCAAACAATTAATAAGGGGCGGGGCGGGGCAGGGTGGGCAGCAACACTAGTAAGATACGCTTGCCATGGAATGAATGGTCAGTAACTCAACACCAAAAGTGCAACATTTACCTAAGGACAAAGTTGAGAAGGGATGGGAAGGGGAGTGGAATGGAACCATAGGGATGAAGTATATGATTTGTCAGATGTAAAGCTGATGATCTTCTCAGTAAACCTTCACATAATTCACAATAAGAAGGTTTTGTTTTTAGAAGAATGCTGATTAGACAAGTGTCTTTTGGTGGGAGTTACAAAGACTAGAAGACTAGAAGAGATATTAAATAATTCACTGTACCACAGTATCTTACCATTTTGATTTGTATTTATTTTATTCTGAGTAAAATTGAACAACTTTTAGGGCCATTTATATATATATTTAATAAACCAAGATCTTGACTTATTCATTAGATCTATGTTTGCTTTCTTCCCTGCCTCATTAAATTTCTATTTATTGCTTCCTTCCTTGGGCTTATGTTGTTTTGTGTTTTGTTTTGTTTGTTTTACTTAATTTGTTCCTTTTTAAATTAATTTTTGTCTCGTTTTTATCCATATATGTGTAAGGGTATGAATTCTCCTCTGATCATTGCATTAAATATATCCCATATATTCTAATGGGGTGTGTCTTCATGATAATTTTTTTTTTTTTTTACAAGTTCTATAATTCTATTTTGTATTTCCCCTTTCACTTCTAAAACGTACTGGTCTTAAATTTCCAGATAGCAGAAAATAGGTTAAATATTAAAATTGTGATGAAAGCATTATTCTTCACTTACAGTAGTTGGAAAATTGTTTTCTGTGGAAAGATACTCAGTGTGAGGGTACACAAGCTTTGAGCCAGCAATGGCTTTGAATCCTAACTTTGGTGTCACCATTGGACCAAGAGACTCTGGCTGATTCACTGTGCACTTCTCTGTAAAATCAGGATAGATGCTGGTAATGTTCATTGGAGCAGCATTTATAAAGTTCCTGTGTCATATAGTCACTCAGTAGACAGCAACCAGAAGTTCTTATTAATTTCTCCATCATAACACAATAGAATATTATGCAAAAGCAGGATAACATTTATATAAGCTGAATTGTCACATGTGCTGTTTTTTCTGTTGTTAGTCGGCGTGCACAGCGTCATGAAGCATGATGCCATCGTGGATGGAACTAGCGCTGATTATGCTCTGGTGGAGGCCGAGGCCACGCGAGTTGCCCAGGATGCTTTGAAAGCACTGAGAGTCTCTCGTCAGCGGTGTCTGGGAGCAGTGTCTGGTGTGCCGACCTGGACAGGTCAACGTGGGATCTCTGGTGCACCAGCAGGAAGGAAGTAAGAGATTGCTGCCCTGTGTGCTTGTGAGGAGCCTACATATTCATGTTTGAGATAGTCAAAGCAAGTGTGGCTGCTTCCCCTTGAGTATCTGAAGCAGTAGAACAATTCTCAAGGAGGGGTTGTGAGTTGAGCTTGAATCAGCTATATTTGAGTGACCCAGGAACACATTCTTGCATTCTTTCATTATCAGGGAAAGGGGAAGAGAGTAAATAATCATTAAACTTTAATAATGAGCCAATTTACAGCAATCAGTAATTCATCACTATGGTTTTTCAGTATGCTCTTTTAAGATACACTAGAATTTGAGGGAGGTTTCCATCATGTGTTGAATGAGGTTACTCAGTTCTCACTCCCAAAGATGCAGCAGATCTTTTCAAGTAAAGTGGAGGCATCCAGAGAGCTGGAACAGAAAGACTCGTTGTAGATGAAAATTTTTCAGGATAAATTTAATTATTGAAAGTTTCCTTTGATCTCTTAAGTCACAAGAACAAACATGCATGTTGTTCTCATTTAGGAGTAGATTTGGTCAGAAGAGGAATCCTAACTTCTCTGTCCAGCCTCCTTTTTCAGCATCTCCAAAAGAGAAGCATCAGGTAATGCTGTATGTAGCCTTGTGCTTTTTGTGAATGAGACCTGCTTCGGTGAATTGTCTGAAAGACTGACCTGATTCCAGATATGAAAGAGCGTGTATTGTAGGCTCTGATTTACGAAGCCATATTTTCCTTTTCCAGGATGCCACTGTAAAGAAAGAGACCAAAGACCATGTTCCCAAACATTTCAGTGGAAAAGCAGCGGATGCAGACTCTCCATGTGGGGCTCCTACTTCGTCATCACTCTTGGCTAAAATGAGAGCTAGAAACCATCTCATTTTGCCAGAGCGCTTGGAAAGTGAAAATGTGTCTCTTCCCGAGGCTTCTGCCCCTTTGCCATCTCCCACAGAACATGATGATCTTTTAGTCGAAATGAGAAACTTCATTGCATTTCAGGCCCAAGTTGATGGCCAGGCCAGCACCCAGGAGATCCTGCATGAGTTTGAGTCCAAGTTGTCAGCATCACAGTCTTGTGTATTTCGAGAACTGTTAAGAAATCTTTGCACTTTTCATAGAACTTCAGATGGTAAAGGAATTTGGAAACTTAAGCCAGAGTACTGCTAATCAGCATTCCTTTTTAAAACTTTTAATTGACTTTATATATATGAGATTAATAAATATTAATCTAGTGATTCATAATCATATTTTTGTTGACAGAAGTTGGCCGCATTTGTTGTTTACCTAGATTGACACCTACCTCATAATTAAAACCTTAAAGAAGAAGAAACGCCGCTCCAAAATTTGAATGGTTTAATGATGTCTAGTATAGTGGAAAAGACTTGATTTTGTTCCCCCCACTATGATTATGTCAACAGTCAGGGACCTTTCCTTAGAACACATTTGCTTTTACTGCTCATTTAGAAATTTGTGGAACAGAAATATCCAAAAATGTTTTCATATTGGTGCTAAAAAAGTAAGACCTGTTCATCAATATCTCATACCAGCATTATTTTGATGTAAATGCTTTAAACGTTTAAATTTATGGTTTGCCACCAAGAAAAGGGGAGTCTTGGTGTGGCGCTGTAGGAGGAGCACTGCAACCTTTCCTCAGAGACCCTACAAGGGGTTGTTTACTTGACTTCACTTTCAACAGCAACAACCAAGAAAAGGATCAGATCTGTAATCTTTCAAATAGTCATAGTAATTGCCTTAAAATGACCCTTCTTCTAAGGTACTGTTAAATTGGCAAATATTCGTAGTAGTAAAGAATGAAATAGTGTGCTTATAAATGATAACACATGTACTTAGCAGAAAGTACTCAGTTTCCACAGGCTTTACAGAAGGTGTCTTTTCCCTTCATTAGTGACTTTAAATGGTTGGTTTTAGGGAAATAAAATGAGTTATAAAACTATTTGAAACAGAATCAGAAAGGACACATAAAACATCTCCCACACCCAAAGCATTAGGCCAGGACCCAAAACCCAGAAATCATCATCATTACCATGGGATGACCGACATCCCTCTCCTCTGTGTTTAAATGCTGATAGATATCTTTGAATTGTTTTATTTTTATTTGTTGAGCTTAACTTTCCTAAAGATGCTGATTATTTTATATTAGAGCATCATTGTTTTCATAATTTGTGGTCTTCCTTCCAAATGCTTTTGTCTATTTTCTTTCTGTCCACTGTGAGCTTTCTGTCTTGTGTTTGTGGTTTGGTTTGGTTTTCAGCTGTGTGTGGTCCTTTTCTGGCTATTTTATGTGATTATAGTTCAGTAATAATAGTGTTTTTGTCTTCGATTTTCTTAACCTTGTTTTTTTTTTTGTTTCCGTATTACTGTTACTTTATCATCTCATCTTTGAAGTCTTATTTCCTTGAATTTGTTGGATTCCTTTAATTTCTAAAATAGTTACGCACATTTTTCTATTGAATGATGTTTCCTTTTGTTTGCTGTCTTCTGTATTCTGTTTGTTTTCCTCCCATGACATTTCTTTATATTATACTCATGCTTAAAGTGGGCAGCTGTGTTCAAGTCTTCTGTTTGTTCTTTTCTGAGACCAGACTTACGTGGGGGCTTTGAGGTCGGATGAGAAGGAGTTGCTACATGGTTGCTTGTGCTGTTGTTGAAGATGTGGGATTTCCTCTCTCTATTCTGAGATTTTTGTTAAATCCAAGAATCTGTTGAGGAGAGACATCCTAGTCAGGAGTTCGTATTACTACCAGAATATTCTGTTTCTTGTTTGGGATCTGGTTTCTTTATTTTATTTATTTTTTTCTATTTTCGTTTGATTCATTAAATATCAATGGAAGAAATTAGACTATTTTTCTTTACTTTTCCATTATTTTCTAGGAGTCACAGGAGAATTTTTATACAAACATACACACATATGAGGAAACTTGTGGACGCATAAAATCAAAAGATAATAAATGGATTATTCCACGAACGTTTTGACACCCTTCATTCATATTCATATATGTGTGTGGCTATATATGTAGCTGTTGCTTAGTGCTGTGGAGTCAGTTCTGACTCATAGCACCCTTTTTATAGGGTTTCCAAGAAGTACCTCATGGGTTTGAACCACTGACCTTGTGATTAGATGTCAGTGTTTATCGTACTTTATCAGACAGACCCACACAGGACTCCATGGATATACATATATATCCTAAGATTCTGTAGGATAAACACTGAACTGCAAAGTCGGATTGAACTGCAAGGCTGGCAGGTCAAACCCACCAGCCACTCTGGGAAACCCTACACAGGGGCGCTATCAGTCAGAACCAACTCAACAGCAATTAACAACAACAACATATATGTTGTTGTTGTTGTTGTTATGTGCCATGGAGTCGGTTCCGACTCATAGCGACCCTGCATAGGGTTTCCAAGGCTGTAAATCTTTACAGGAGCAGAATGCCTCATCTTTCTCCCGCGGAGCAGCTGGTAGTTTCGAACTGCTGACCTTGCGGTTCACAGCCCGAACAATATATATAGTTGTTGATAAATGCCTTTGAGTCAGTTTCAACAGCAACATTGTATAGGGTTTCCAAGGAACAGCTGTTGGGTTTGAACTGCTGACTTTATGGTTAGCAGTCCAGTGCAATAATGACTCTCCAGGACTCTCTATATAGCTAGCTATATGTATGTATGTATGTTGTTATGGTTGTTAAGTGCTGTTGTGTCAATTCCGACCCATAGCATCCCTGTATAGAGTTTCCAAAGAAAGGCTGGTAAGCTTGAACCATTGACCTTGCGGATCAAACCGACTTTGCAGTCCAGCACATTAGCCCACAGTGCTACACCAGGACTCCATATATATGTATATATATTGTTATTAATTGCTGTCGAGTTGGTTCCAACTCAGAGCAGCCCTGTCCTGGTGTGGTGCTGCAGGATAATGCAGTGGACCACAAGTTCAGTTTCAATCACAAGGTCAGCAGTTCAGGCTCACGTAGGTCAGGACTGGACAGTGCTTAACAACAATATATACACATAGTATTTATTTTGTTCTTGAGAATATACACAGCACAGCATATATTAATTCAGTCGTTTCTGATTCATTTAGTGACATTGGTAACAGAGATGTGCAACTTTCTCACCTTTTTAAAAGTTGTTCTTTCCCCATTAACATAATCTTACTGCCCACTAAGTTTTCTGTCTAATTTTTTGAGTTGCTGTTAGCAATTTGACCCCTTATAGATAGTTTTCAAAAGAGCATATGTAGCACTGTAGGATAAGCACTGGACTTTTAGCCACAAGGTCAGTGGTTCCAAACCAGCAGCTGTTCCTTGGAAACCCTTTACAGGGTCGCTGTGAGTCGGAACCAACTCGATGGCACTTAACAACAACAATAACAGTGCCCAAGGCAGACCTTTTTCACTAGTTAAGCTGATCTGTTCTCTGGTTGTAGGAAGACTTCAGGGTATATTTTTGGTTTAATTTTAAAGATCGTCTCAGGATGATAGTTTCAGGGGTTCATCCAACCTTTGTAGTTCTAGGAATTGTATGTTGTTGTTAAGTGCCGTCAAGTCGGTTCCGACCCATAGCGACCCTGTACAGGGTTTCCAAGGGTATAAATCTTTACGGGAGTAGAAAGCCTCATCTTTCTCCCGCAGGGCGGCTGGTAGTTTCGAACCACTGACCTTAAGGTTCGCAGCCCGATTCGTAACCACT